CGCGACCAACACCGGTTGCCCAATCTGTGGAACCGCCACAGCCCGTGGAGGTACTTGAAGAAGTGAAGGAGGAGGTTGAGGAAGTGGAGGAGGGAATGCCATTAGAGGATGCGATGGCCGTCGACCCCATTGTCCCCGTCCCAGCACCAAAACGATTTGTGGCCGCTCGTGCTTCTGCGACAGCTGCGCCATCTATTATGCCATCTCGGACGCCGCGTCGTTCGTCTGGTCGGCCTGCAATCCGTCAAGAGCAGCTGGACGAGGACGAAGAGGCCGAGCGAGTATACAAGAAGCGGCGGACGTCGTCCGATTATCCTGAGGACGCTGCCGTCGCTGAGGTCGAGGAGGCCGTCACATACGATGACGAGCCACCTGAGGCGGATCCGAATGGCGACCAATGGGTGGACCTTGATGCGGAGGACGCAGATGACCCACTCATGGTGAGCGAGTATGTCGTGGAAATCTTCGACTACCTCAAGCAGGTTGAACAAACCACAATGCCTAACCCTCGCTACATGGAGAACCAGAAGGACTTGGCGTGGAAGATGCGCGGTATTCTTACGGACTGGCTCATTCAGGTGCATTCGCGCTTCAAGCTCCTTCCCGAGACCCTCTTCCTCTGCATCAACATCATTGACCGCTTCCTCTCCGCGCGTGTTGTGTCGTTGGCGAAACTGCAACTTGTTGGGATCACGTGCATGTTCATCGCGGCGAAGGTCGAGGAGATCGTTGCGCCGAGTGCGACTAACTTCCTCTACTGTGCACACTCAAGCTACAACGAGTCGGAGATCCTGCAAGCGGAGCGGTATGTGCTCAAGACCATCGACTGGAACCTCAGCTATCCAAACCCGATCCACTTCCTTCGACGGGTGAGCAAAGCAGATGAATACAACATCCAAGTCCGCACAATTGCAAAGTATCTGCTCGAAATCCAGTGCCTAGAGTGGCGGTTAATTGCTGCTCCGCCGTCATTGCTGGCAGCTGCTGCGATTTGGCTGGCGCGCCTGATCCTGGGCTTCGCGGACTGGGTATGTGTGGCGCACAGATGGGCGTCTAAGCTGGACTAACCATCGTCTCCAGACCCCGAACTTGGCGCACTACTCCTCGTATCCTGAGAGCGCGCTCATTCCGACGGCGAATCTTATGATCAACTATGTCTTGAAGCCGGTCAGGCACGAATCATTCTTCAAGAAATACGCGTCGAAGCGGTTCTTGAAGGTGTGTAACATCCGTGCCTGTACCGGGCCTCCACTCAGTGATGACGCACTATACATAGGCGAGCGTGTTCGTGCGGAACTGGGCAACCGAGAAGTGGAAGGAGGGCAGCGCGGCGGAACTTCTGAAAGAGTTGCCGGGTCTGAAGGCGGGCATTCGACAGGCGCAGGCGGCCGAGGAAGCAAGGGCAGCCGAGGAGGCGGTCGCATTGGCGGAGGCGGAGGCGATCGCGGCGGAAGAGGCTCTGGCGAAGGCTCGGACTCAGGCCAGTGCAGGCGCATACTGGTCGAAGCAGTTCAACTTTGGCAGCGGCACGCGTCACTAGCTCTGCGCGTACATACTTCACTACCGACAACCTGGATACCTCTCCTATAACTCCGCACAGCCTAGCGCATCCCCATCTACCCGCCGTCGCATCCGTTCCGGACCTCTGCATCACACCACATCTTTTTGCATACCTCCAAGTTATTGTGTTCTCCTAGTTCGCGTGTCTGTATTCTCACCGCTGGTGTGTTCTTCAATCTCGTGCCTGCGATGGTCTATCACATCATCCCTACCGCCTCCACATCTCTCTGTCCTGCACACCGCGCACTGTTCATAATATTTGCTTTGTACGAGAGGTGACATCTTATGGTGAATGGCTTAGATGCATAGGACGGATCCTGGACGTCTCAGTTATAATTCACCTGTAGCACCGAAGTTTATGATACATGCATCTGCAGTATGTCGTTCCACGTATGAATAAGAAGTGTATTCTACCATGTTATTTCCGTCGTGAGTCAATTGTGCGAGTACTGCGAGGACGTTTTGTGAGTAGAGGACGATCGAACTGCAAGCGCCCCGGGTCTTGCCTGCTGCTGTCACACTTACCTCGACGACGACCTCGGCCGCTGCAGTCGTGTGAGTAGGACTTGTTCGGGCTGCATGTTCGTCTCTCGACATGCGACACGACAGTTGACTCGAATAAGCAGACGGGTGATCCCTGCACATGCACATCTGATAACCTCCACAAAACGCGTCGAGTCACTTCCTAAAGGCGCTGCACATCTTGGCTTTTGCTATCGACTTCTCGCGACAACGACGATGACTTCAGTCGAAAGCATTACACAGTCCTTGGCGGGTCTATCTATCCAGCCTGCAGCAGTTATCACGCACGATGCGACGAGCGCGGCGAACTGGCGGGAGACGTTGCAAACCAGCTCGTCTGCCCCGCAATCCTTCGAGACTCTGAAGACCATGGTGTACAAGCCGAAAACCGCAAAAACAGCGACGCCCATCCCTTTGGTCATCATTGCACGCGAGAACACGGAAGTGAATTCGACAGCTGTGGGCAAGAAACTCAATTTGAAGGAGGTGCGGGTTGCGTCGGAGGACTTGCTGAGCGAGTTTTTCGCACTCGATAAGAACTCCCGTATGTGCTGCAGTACGGCCTGGTGTCACTTTGTTGATCTTCAGTGAGCAGTCTCTCCCCTCATGCTGACTGCGGAGACATATCCAAAGGTCGTGACTGTCTTCGACGCCTCGATCGCTTCATCTTCATCTCTCTTCGCCGTCCGCGCTCGTTCCTCGACATCCACCCTATTCTTGCAAGGCAAAGACATACTTGCATACCTACGCACGCTACAGACGCAAGACGCTCCTCTACAAGAGATTGACTTCGAGGCGCTTAAGGCTGAGAGTGAGGCCGTTCCTGCAAGTCAGACGAAGGCCGCCCCGGCAAAGAAGGAGAGGGAGGATGCAAAGATCGATGGCGCAGTACAGATTGCCATTGGTATTAAGAAAGAGGTCGACTTCGCGGGTTGGTACACGAACGTGTTGATCAAGGCCGACATGCTCGACTACTACAACGTGAGCGGATGCTACATCCTCCGCCCATGGTCGTACAGCATCTGGGAGGTCATCCAAGGTACGTTGAGTTATAGTGAATCCATGACAGGAGCACTGACTCGCATGCCAGATTGGTTCAACGCGCGCATACGCGAGATGGGCGTGCAGAATGCGTACTTCCCGATGTTCGTATCCTCAAGGGTACTCGAGCGGGAAAAGGACCACATCGAGGGCTTCTCTCCTGAGGTTGCTTGGGTCACCCGTGCGTAAGTGGCATGCATAGTTGTCGCCTCCACCTGCCTGACCGCTGTGCAGAGGACAGTCTGAGTTGGACGAGCCCATTGCAATCCGTCCGACATCAGAGACAGTCATGTACCCATGTATGTGTCTTGCAAGATTGCGATCATGACCGTGTTAACCTAGCTGCAGACTATGCAAAATGGATTAAGAGCCACCGCGATCTGCCGCTGAAGCTCAATCAGTGGAACAACGTTGTGCGCTGGGAATTCAAAAACCCTCGTGAGCAGGCTGTATGCACCCCTGGAACGTATCTGACGTCTTCGCAGAGCCGTTCCTACGTACGCGGGAATTCCTCTGGCAAGAGGGCCACACGGCATTCCTGACTAAGGAAGAAGCGGACAAGGAAGTGCGCGAAATCCTGGACCTTTACCGCCAGGTCTATGAGGATTTGCTAGCGGTGCCCGTCATCCAAGGTGTCAAGTCGGAGAAGGAGAAGTTCGCAGGGGGTCTGTACACGACGACAGTAGAAGGCTTTGTGCCAACGACTGGTCGCGGTATCCAGGCGGGCACGTCACACTGTCTCGGACAGAACTTCTCTCGCCCAGAAATGTTCAACATCTTCGTCGAGGATCCAAATGACACTACCAAGAAGGCGTACATATGGCAGAATTCGTGGGGCCTCTCAACCCGCACCATTGGTGTGATGGTCATGATCCACGGCGATAACCAGGGCTTGGTCCTCCCGCCCCGAGTGGCGTCCATCCAGGTTGTCATCGTGCCCTGCGGTGTTACGGCGAAGACGAGCGACGAGCAGAGGAAGGCGATCAGCGACAAGTGCGACGAGCTCGCTAACGTGCTAAAGAGTGTCGGCGTGAAGGCGAAGGCAGATCTTCGTGAGGGTTACACGCCTGGCTTCAAGTTCAACGACTGGGAACAGAAGGTCAGGACTGCCCTTGTCATCGCTTTGACCTTGTACTCAAGGGTCATCGTCGTAGGGCGTTCCTCTCCGTCTAGAGATTGGTCCGGCCGACCTTGCAAAGAACCAGACCCTCACTGTCCGCCGAGATACCGGTATCAAGGCCCCGCTTCCTCTTGCGGATGTCACCACCGCGGTGCCAAAGTTGCTTGATACCATTCAGGCGGACATGTTTAAGCGCGCACAGGATACCTACTTCTCGCGTCTCAAGCAAGTGACGCGCTGGGAGGACGTAGTGCCGACCCTCGACGATAAGTGCGTTGTCGTCATGCCGTGGTGTGAGGAGGAGGCATGCGAAGACGATATCAAGGAGCGCAGTGCACGCTCGTGAGTAGACCGTTCAATCATCATTGACTCCGCTGATCGACGTGTCTGCGTACCAGGGCTGAGCCTCAGGACGAGCGTGCCCCCTCTGCAGGTGCAAAGTCCTTATGTATTCCCTTCGACCAGTCTCGCTGGCCGTCAATTGAGCCGGGTAAGACAAAATGCGCTGCGTGTGGCAAAGATGCGAAACGTTGGACTATGTTTGGGCGCTCTTACTGAACGTTTTGGGGGCTGGTCACGTCGGCAATATAATGAGTACTGTATTGTAGGTCAGCTATCGTAGAATTTGTAGAGCATCACACAATTCTTCCGTTGGAAAGTAGAATGGTGTGTTGTTGGTGTGATGTGATCTCTGTTCATGGGTGCTTGAACAACGGCCAATGAATCGAGCAAAAAAGTTCGAAGTATTGCCGATGCACTCCCTGGCGGGGAGTCGAACCCCGCTTTCGCGCGCACTCAGATCAAATGACAGGCGCGTGTACTAACCGATATACTACCAGGGATTATATATAATTTAGGTAGTAAGACTCTTGTATGTGCTGACCTGCTTAGCTTGGAAGTTGACCACCTGGATTGGAGCTCAGAGTAGTCCTCGACTTGCATAGAGCGGGAACATGCAGAGTCGTTCCGATTCGGATGAGGACTCCGATTACATACCACCTGTGGATAATGGTGTGGATCTACCCTCCGCGAACGGCTGTCGCTGATTGTTGTCTTTCAGATTCGCAGTCATCAGACAGTGAGGAACCGGACGCGAAACGGGTCCGCATGAGTAGCCCGGCAGAGGAAGATGAAACTAAGGAGAAGCAGTGAGTTGCTGTTCTCCTGTTTACTCCATTTCCTGAACGTCACATGTAGAAGAAGGGATACCGTTTGGGCAGAGTTTCAGGCATCTCTGTCCAAGCCACTGCCCAACGCACTTGCGTCCGACTCTCAGGCTATACCGCGAATGGTGAAGATTGAGAAACGGTATCGCTTTGCTGGAGAAGATGTAGTGTAAGTCCTACCCCCTAGATGCTTGCTTTGTTTTGTCGTCTCGTTTGATGTGTTCGAGTGCGTCATTGCCAGGGAGGTCAAGGAAGTACCGGAAGGGTCGGATGAAGCGAAGAAGTGGCCTAGGTGGCAACCCCCGCCAGAGGATGGAGGAAAGGATGCCCCAGTTCCTCCTACGCAAGAAATATCGTCAAAGGTGCCGGAGTCCGTGCCCTCACCCCCAGTACCGTCATCTAGTGCCACTCCTAAACCACCTGCGAAACGTCCGGGGCCGAGGAAGCCCAAGACAACCTTGACGCCACTGCCTAGTGCGCAGCAAGCAAAGAAGCTTACTACGCTAGACAAATCTGCAATTGACTGGCGCTCTCATGTGCAGACGGGAGGCCAGTTTGAGCTTAAGGATGAGCTCGAAGCCAACCGTCGCGGAGGTGGCTATTTTGAGAAGGTGGAATTTCTTCAGCGTGTTGAGGAGCGAAAGGCCGATGCTTTTGATGCGAGTACGTCGAAGCGACGTAGAGGCTAATTCATCATATGTACTCATTCACTCCACCGGCATGTATCTGGTGACCCATTATTGCATCTACTTCCTACGCCGTTCTGTCTTGCTGAAGGATCGACATGCCTTGGAATCTGCGAGCGGGATTCGAGAGGCATTTGTACTTCATGGTATCCCGTTTCACGGCGGTGCTAGTCTCGCAGTAAGACGGAACAAGTGAGCGACGCATTTTGGGTCAAGTCTCTTTATTGTTACAGTACAGATGAAGTGGTCGAGAATGCGAAGCAATGACAACGTCCAGGATGGTTGCACGAGTTAATACATGGCGAGATAGAAGCCGAAGAACAAGATGAGCAATACAGATATAATGGACAATGGCGTCCACGGCCCTTGGTCAAGCTGAGCTCTTGCAAGTGCGTTTATGGTCGGGCCAGTGCTGCTTCTGGCAGCCAGAATCGCAATACCTACAACATCACCCGATCACTGCAACACAACATTAAGGCATCTGATCCGCGCACCTTGTCTTCCCGCAGCCCCCGCATTTCCTCAGAGCGGCACTCGGGTTCCCGCAGTATGAGCACCGATAGAGCTCTACCGCCGTAGGCATGATCTTGGGGTGTACGTAATGACCATCTTCGTCCGGTGCACCCTCAACACTCATATTCTCCAGCCACGCCGAGAGATCGTCTTCTGCCTTCGCGGGTGTTGGCAGGCGGTGCGCGGAGGGTGAGGTCAGGTCCATCTTGTCGAAACGCGCTATGACTTCACCCCAAGACTTGACAGCCATAGGGTATTGCTTCACGATGAGCTCGCGGGTGAGCCGACCCTGCGTCGTCTTCAGCGTGATACCGAGGTGCTTTCGCATTTTCTCTGCGAGCTCGAGTTTCTTTAATGCATCCTGCACGACGTCAGAGTGAGACCGGGCTTCGCGACGACGAGGATAACAGACTGACATCTAGCTCCCGCAGACCAGGGCTGAGCTCTGGGCCGCGGGTTGCAATCGAGCATATAATGTACCAGTTCAGCACGGTACCCATGTTTCGCGAGTCTGGCGGCGCTTCCTCCATGAACCGTTTCGCGTCCTCACACGAAGACATCAGGAATGCGAGACCTTCGTTGTAATTTCTGTCGCCAGCGGTGGCTTCCTGCAGCCGATTCACCCCTAAGTTTCCAGCGTGCTCGACGGCACGCCAAAGCATGTAGTTCCGCACGAAGGGCGTGATCTGTTTGGCCTTTAGACCCTTCTTCACTGCCCGGAGCCCATTCTCAGAGTTCGCTCCCAGTCCGGTGGCATAGTATGCGTATGCCAGCTGCGGGTTCCGCTCGAGGGCCTTGTTTGCTATTTTGATAGCGTCCGGGATGCGCTGTCTGATAATAAATGATTTCATTTCCAGTATGTCCGCGTCGTCGAGATCCTCCTTGTTACCCCTTGCGCGGACGGCCTGTGCGCAATGCGGCAGTGCATCCGTCCATTGCGTAAAGGGCAAGCCCACATCGAAGACTTCCATTCGGCCCGTGCGTTCGTTGACAGCCTGGTACACCCCGTTGGCGACGGAGAACTCCGTACGCGTGATGAGTTCCGCAATCTTCTTCCCGAGCTTGTACATATCTCTGTCACCCAGACACGCTTGCATGGCCTCTTGGAAGTCAGCGCTGGAGCGCAATGTCAGGGTGAGATCACAGCGCTCGAAGCCATAATCCATCATGACGTCGGTGAGGTCGTCCGGAAATCGTCGCTGGACGGCCTCCATCATCTTGCGCGGGTCCCAAAATCCATGATCTGGCTCGGACTCGGCGAAGTTGAGACGAATGAGACCCGCCAATGCACTACACCGCGTGGTGATCTCGTTGCTGCGCAGGCAGGCTACGAGAAACGTCATTAGCGGAGGAAGTGCCTTGCATTCCTTGTAACAATGCAGTGTCGAGCTCGTCAGCAGACCCAGCCCATGATTGATGAGGAAGACGGAGGCATCCGGTTTGCGGAGGTTATCTGTGGTGAATTTGAGAACTGCGCGTATGTCGATAGCCTCGAGAAGCTTGGTGTCGGGCTTGTCATCCCGCCCGACAACGGCACCGATGGCATGGCTCATAACGACGATGACTAGTTCGGCTACCTTTTCGTCGTCAGGAAACTCCTCCAAGAGACGTAAAAGGACAGGAGTTTGCCTGGCAATTTCCTGCCGTGCTGCTACCCCACCATGGTGTGTAACGGTGCATAGCGCTTGCAGTCCAATATGTCGCGTAGACGGCATATCAAGGAGAGGCATCATTTTTGCGACCAATCCTGCAATGTCATATGAGTACTCGGTCGCATACACTTGACGAAAATGCAAGTAGTGACTTCGACGCGCTAGTAGAAACCTACCATCCTTGAAGAGCTTGTCCCGGAGGAGTGCATCCGCAGACATCTTGGCCCAAATACCCACAATTCCGCCCACAATCTTTTCGTTGTCGACATGCTTAGTATATGCGGCATCGAGCTTTTTGGATATCTCGCTGAAGCGCGCATGCGTCTTTTTGAGACCACTCCGTGTTGTCAGATCTGTCATACATGATGTACGACACCAGTAAGCGCTCTATCAATGAAACACAAGAAACTATACTCACCAGGAAAGTCAAAAAACTCACACAGGAACTCGACGATCGCGTTCCAGCCTTCTGCGTTCTCAATATCGTGCGCAAAAGTGGCGGGGATCTTGTACTGCGTGTTCGTGCTCCGGCGTTGCTTGTTATGTTTTGGAGGCATCTCAACCAATGAACGACTAGCTGCGCTGAAGTGGTAACCTGAGACTCGCAGCCGCAGCGGGAGGACTGTCCTCGCGACGGTCTGCCCGAACTCAACGTAGTAGTATGGACAACTGTTCTTTAGACGCCCATCGAGTATAGACGCGTGTTACGTAACGGTGACGTACAGTAACTCTATTGAAGAGAGGAACGCAACCGTGATCATCGCAACGACTCGGAGGTCTGGATGTTAATGCCCATTAATTCGTCACCGTTCATGGCCAAACCTGTGCATCTGGGGCGAGCTGGCGGTCCTATGTATGTTTCTCCCTACGGAATCTGTACAAAGAAATCTGCGATGAAGCTCAGCGCTGTGGATGTAATTCCGGTTGTGTTCGTGATTGGCATCAACTGTATTGGGCCACGGTGGCTTATTGTGACTCAGTTGTCCTCGCAGCGCAACACGATACACAGGAGTATGTAAGGGACCGAACACGAAGGTGTGTCTATTGCGTTAACATTGTCTAGCCCATATGCTCAGATAGTGGCAGACGATTTCTAGTCACAATGCGTCCCGCCGTTTGCAGAAATTGTTTGGCCTTCTCGGGAAGAAAGTTATCTCTTTATGTCAGGCCAAGTGTGAATGCCACGCACCGGTAATGAAATAGGATTCCAGCTTGGCAATATACGAGACCAGGCTGGCGATGACTTCGGGCTGTGCCATCGGTATGTTCATCGGCATATTCAACCTCTACGATCGTTCTCATTGAGTGTGAGACCGAGCGACTGATGTCACCCTCGCACCTTCATCGTTGTCGTGCCCGGTTGCAAACCGAGACGCTCATCCTCGCGCGCGTCCTCCTCGTTGTGAACTTTGGTTGGCTACTGGTAAGTCGCAGGACCGCTCGTTCTTGGTCTAATTGCTCACCGATATTCGTGCTTATAATGGCCCCAGGAGCATACGCATTGACAGTGATCTTATGCGGTGCTAGCTCCAAAGCTACAGTAGTGTGCAAGTTCAACCCGCGCGCATGCAAATCATGGACGCAGACACCTCACCTGCGCACTGGGTCAAGCCTCGCACAGCGAATTTGGACGCGGCGTACGCCGGCAAACTCGGGATGCCTTCATGGGGAATCAGATCGCCAGAATCAGTGAGTTGGGCTGTCTCTACCTACCTTGCTTTCCGGCCTGTGAACACGCGCCTATTGCAGACGTACTCGATTTGAATCATGGTCCGTTTCTATGGTGTGCATACTAACCTATAATCCTTCCCCCGCGGCCTTGCTC